TGTGGACACCTGGATCCATGTGGACACCTGGATCCGTGTGGGCACCTGGATCCGTGTGGGCGCCTGGATCCGTGTGGACACCTGGATCCATGTGGACACCTGGATCCGTGTGGACACCTGGATCCGTGTGGGCGCCTGGATCCGTGTGGACGCCTGGATCCGTGTGGACGCCTGGATCCGTGTGGGCGCCTGGATCCGTGTGGACGCCTGGATCCGTGTGGACCCTCCCCATCAGCTCCCATGTCCGGGCTGCTGCTCCCGTGCGACGCAGGCAGATCCCTCAGGTTCCTTCTGCTGTTTTCCTGGGAAATGTGGTGACGGGCTGCCCCTGCAGCGGGCAGGGCTGGGTGGGACATTGGAAGTGGTGCCTTGAGGAGCTGGAGCAGAAGCTAGGTGGAGTTAAGAGCAAGAAAGAGGATATTTATGGCAGGGCCTTCAAAGGCCACACCCTGGAGCCACAGCCCTGGCTCTGCCGGGAGGGCTCCAAGATGGGAGCAAAAGAGGGCTTGGTCAGGAGATCTGACATTTCTATAAGTTCTGCTCCATTTGCATACAGGAGATAACTGCCTAATTAACAGCTTCAAATGATAGAGTTTCATCCTCCTTGCTTGCTTTCCCTCTCTCCCTTGTCACGTTGTTTGTGCTTTGGGCCTGAAGTTTGAAGAGATTGTCCTTGACTCTCCAGCTAGAGCAGGATTGTTTTGTCCTCCCCACGCTGGGAAAAGATCCCAGTAACACTGAATAATATAAAGCTAAAAGCTGCACACCAATACGGAGCAGAACAACATAAACCCCAAGGTTTTCAGTTTCTCAGTTTCAGTTTCCCCACTTTTGACAGAATTATTCCCTGGCAGGGTGGGCAGCCCTGGCACAGGTGCCCAGAGCAGCTGGGCTGCCCCTGATCCCTCGAATGTCCAAGGCCAGGCTGGGCACTGGCCAGCATCTCCAGGGGCTGTTGGGCCGTGTTTATCCCCAGAAGTGCACTGACAGTTGTGCAGATTTAAAAAGTGACCTGTGAGAACAGGAATATCGATGCTGGGAGCCAGGGCAGTGCTAATCATATGTTTCTGAGCAGCAAAATGCTAACAGATTTCCAGCTCTGCATTATTCATGAGCTCCCATTTATCCATATGAATGGAAGACCAAGCTCAAAGGACACAGCCAACTCTGGCACTTTTTCTTCATTTTGTTGTGATGTCAACAGCTGTAAAAACTATTAAAGCAGCAGTTTTCCCTGGAAAAATCCGAAATGGGGGATGAGGACTCGTGAGCAAATATTGTTTGTCCTTTAGAACAGTGTACTTTGAATAACTAAATCAAAGCTTTCATGTCCCTTTGGTGACCTGGACATATCCCAGTGTGTGAAATGTGTGGCTTTCGCCCTTCCTGGCCTGCTCTGGTTTGGGTTTTCCTCTGAGTTTTCTTGGCAGGAGCTTCTCCAGGCACACCTCGGTGGGGTGCAAGTGCTGGGGGTCCTTCTGAAACCAGTGAGGATCTCAGTGCTCACATTTATTTCTCAAATCTGATCAAATCCATGATTAATTTAGTCAATTTTTTTCTTCCTGTGTTGCACCTTTCCATTTTGAATGGTTTGGTGCTGCAAATGCCGATGCAAAGACGTGCCCTCACGTTAGTGGGTATATAATTTCATGATCCTCAAAAAGTGGCCTGCAAATGAATGGCTGCTTTTGCCAACACCCATTTGCTGGGGACAAAGTTCCCTGATTTATTCATTTATGCAAAATACAGGCAGTCCTGCGAAAGGTAAAGCCTTGAGCATATACAGTGTCTTATAGATGTGAAATTGTTGTGAGAGTGAGGATGGAAAATGCATATTTTTACTGCCAAGAGAATCAAATGTGTGACCTTTAATTAATACATTATTTTGAATGTTTTTAATTAAAATATAAATTTGTCTGTTGCTGGTTCACACACACACACAACACGGCCCCTCACATTTAAATTAAATTAAATTGAATTTAACTAAATTAAATTAAATTAAATTATTTTTTTTCACACTATGAAATTGTTAATCCTGCATAAAACATGATGGCTCACTCTGGAGCTTATTAAAAAATAAATAAATAAAAAAGCTTTTAGTAGACCGGGGCAGTAAAGCAATGTGTTTAGTACCTTTCTCTGCTTTTCCATTTGGAAAGCAAATTCCATCTGAATTTAAGTAAAATTTGAAATTCATCCCATTGTGCTGCCAGCTGAGAACAAGTCTGGGACCCGGGGCTGGAGGCTCTGGCACAAACCTGGAGGCTCTTAAAAATTACCTTTTGTTGGACTTCTTGTACAACAGGGCACGAAAAGCTGTCAATAATGTGGTTTTCTACCGCCTTAAAAACATTTGAATATTTATTGAGAAGCCCTTGTTATCAAGCAAAGCAATCAGCTGGAGGTGTAGAGCTGCCGGAGGATGGAGTGAGAAAACTCCTTGGCAATTTCAGGCCTCAAACTTCAAGTTCACAATTATTATTTTTTTAACGTCTCACCGGTGTAGAGCTATTAAATATTTATCATCCTGTAATAAAAGAATAAACCATTTAAATAAAATAAACCATTACAAGGCAATTAAGGTGTAATAACTCAAACCTGCAGAAAAGCTCTAATTGTAATTGCAAAATATTAAGGGTGAGAGAAAGACACGGAATAAATTAAGGTCACGTCTCTGCCCCATCCACTCAGAGTTTCCATCCAAAAGATTTATTATGAAGTGTTTTTCCATTTTTCCTGGTACTCAAACAGGCTCTAGCTTCCCTAGGCTTAAAGACCTCGATTTCACAATAAATCATTAATCTTTAACAAAGCTGATGAAGCCTGGGGGAGATTAGCTTAAATAAACCCAGTTAATTATCAAAGGTCATAAATTGAAGCAGTTATGAGCATTTTTTTAATTAACTAATGAGATGGTATTTAACTGCCAGTTGTGTTTTGGTCCAGTTATTGATTCCTCCGCGTTGAAATATTAAAGTCAAACAATCGTACTGGTGCAGATGGAACTGAAAGGAACTTTTTGCATTCTCCAGCTGGGAATGTTCTCCTTGGGACCATCCCAGCCATCCCACCCTGTGCATCCCTGAGAGCTCTGGCAGGTTTGGGAACGTGCCCGTTCCCTGGGGAGCACCCCATGGAGAAGAACCTCTCCTGAGATCCACCCTAAACCTGCCCTGAGGAATTCCTGAGGGGTGGCAGCCACCAACGTCACGAGTGAGGGGCTGCAGAAAGCAATGGAACATTCCAGAGTTTGTGTTCCTTGAAAACAGGTTGGGTTTTCTGCCACTGGAACAGTGAAGGACACTGCGAATTCATTATAGCATTGCTTTTTTATTCCCCAAACCAGAAATTAGGCGTGGCTTTACTCACAGCAAAGCACATTTTTCACTTTTAAAGCCTGGTATCCCCCTCGCAGCTGTAATTGCTCCAGCACAACCGTTTGCTTTTGGACCAGCTGCAGAGCAATAAAATCAGGTACCACTGACGCTGCTGAGCCAGGGACGGGCAAAATGGGTCATACCATTTTAGAAGGTAGACTGAGTGCTTATATAAAAACACTTTTTTTTTAATAGAGAACATTGTGAACATGAATTCCATTAGAGTAAAACCATTTCACCTGGTCGGTGCACTGGACTCAGGTCAGTGTGGCAGAACATATCACATATCTATGAACAAAATGAACAGAAAGAGAGATAATCGATTGTTTACATTCCTCCTGGACTTCTTCCCAGGCTTAGCCTGGCAGAAACTTCTCTCCTCTCTCTGACTGAACGAGAATATCCAAGTACCACTGTAACAAAAAGTGGGATTGGTAGCTTCAACTCTAGACCTGGTCCCAGGGATGGGCTGGTGCTGAGCTTGTGCGGGGAGGGGGCTCCGGAGGACTGGAAAAGGGCACTGGCCTTTGGAATGGGAATAGGATGGGATGGGATGGAATGGAATGGAATGGAATGGAATGGAATGGAATGGAATGGAATACAATGGAATGGAATACAATGGAATGGAACAGGAATGGAATACAATGGAATGGAATACAATGGAATGGAACAGGAATACAATGGAATGGAACAGGAACGGCCAGACAGGAATGGGATGGGAAGAGCTGGGACGCCCTGGGCAGTGCCCAGGCTGCGGCTGGCTCTGCCGGAGCTGCTCCTGGGATGGATGTCTCTGGGGGCACGGGCTGAGATCACTGCTCTGCCCTCTGCTGAGCTCCCCCTGCTCTCTGGGGGATGAAGTTTGGGCTTTGCCGTGGACAGGAGCCAGGGTCGGTGCTCTGCTCCCTCGGGTCATCCCTGCCCAAATCACCCGAGTTTCCTCCTCACAGGAGCCTGGTTTGTTTGGGGAGCTCCGAGGAGGAGCAGCGTGAGCACAGGCAGGCTGGAGAGGTGCACGTCCCCCTGGAATTCTGGAGGAATCTGCCCCCAGTTTGTTCCCTTTGCTCAGGCAAACAGGGGCTGATGAATCGCTGCCTTCCTAACCACATGCAGGAGATTTGCTAGGCAAATAATTACCAGTAATTGGCCTCTGGTAAACTAAAAGTCAGGGTTTATTTACTTGCTTGTTTTCACCTGCCTGTATCCTCTAATAGCTCCTTCCAGCTCATATTTTTCCCAAGCCTTGGATGTCAGGAAGCTGCAGCTGTGGGTCCTGCCCTCCTCGAGCACGTCTGTAATTCTCAGCCCCGCTGTCCTCCCCTGCCTGGGAATTTACTGTTGTTTTGACAATTTTATGTGCAAACATATTTAAATCCCTCTGACCTCAGCCTCCTGAGCTGATTGAATTTTGTTTTAACTTTGGTCTGGCAATTTCCATTTTCATGTTTTTATGCAGAATGCCAGGGTTTCTGCTTGTGATAAAACTGAGACAAAAATAGGTTTGGGTCCGTGCTGAATTTCTGTGTGAGCAGAGGGGCTCTCGTTTTGCTCAGGGTGCCTCATTCCTTCACTGTGTTCTTGAGTGGAAATGGTGGGGTTTAACTTGGACTTGATGATCTCTGAGGTCTCTTCCAGCCTTAATGATTCTGCAGTCTCTGGGGTCAGCTTTGCTTTGGCGGTTCCCTTCCTGTTCTGGCTTTCCCAGCCAGGGCCTTTTTGCAGCCAATTCCTTTTGCTCCCTGTAATTTGCCTCCTTGTGCTCCCCTTTCATGGGATGCTTTCCCATTCTGATAAGAGGTTTTCTCTGCCAGCTCTTTTCTGCTGGGATCAGAAAGGAATTTCTAGATACAATCTCTGTGCTTTTGGTAAAAGGCAGCTACTAAACGTCCTTGGCATTTAACCTCACCTCCTTGGCCCAGCTGCCTTTAGTGCTTACATTCTGCAGAGGTTTCCCTTTTGAGGATTAGAGCTGCAGCTACAAATCCCTGGGGTTTATTCTCCCACTCCATTTGAACCCTCTCAGCTGCTGACTGTCTGGGTCATTTCCAGCGTTAGATGCGGCTCACCACCCCCAGCCAGAACTGATTTTGAGGAGAACAGCAGGATTTACCTCTTCTCATGACAACCTGCTGGGGATTCCTGTGCCCACATATCCCAGCAGAGCTGGGCTGCCACACCAGCACTGCCTGAGCCTTTCCTGGTGCACCAGGGCAGGTCTGGTTTGGATAGGAGGGAAAATTCCTTCCCTGGTGAGTCAGTCAGGGGCTTGGGGCTTGGGGCATTTAGAGCTGGGCAGGAACTGCATCCCCACTTCTCCAGGTGCGTTTGGCAGCCAGGGATGTTGTGCCAGTATCCCCATGCCCAGAACATTCCTGGGTTTATGTTTTTGAGCCCAGCCTGACGCCAAGCTCTGCTTTAAACCAGCGAGCTGGGTTTGGTGTCCCCGAGGAGGTGGCTCTGCAGGGACCTCACACAGGTCCTGCACACGCAGCCCAGCTCTGCCACGGGCACAGCAGCAGCTGCTGGGCACTCCCTGCTCTTCCAAAGCCCCACGGTCCAGCTGGGGAGAATTCCCCACTGCAGCCCCAGACACGGTGGGTTTCCATTAGACTTGCAGATTCCTTTTCCACAAGCACCCTTGGAAATGTGAGCAGCCCTGATAGTGCAGGACTGGGTCCCAGGGAGGTGCAGTGCAGATCGTGCCACTCTTGCCCACGCTTCCCTGCCTCCCAGGGCTCCTAAGGAGTCATTAACAAATTTTAATTTGAATGAACCAGCCTAGCGTGCTTCTCCAGAACCAGCTGGTTTTGTTTTCTCTCTACAGACCTGAACATTTTCATGAATAAAGATTTGCAAAGAGTTTCAGAACTTGAAACTAGAAATAGATCCGTCTCTCCAATGCCTTGGTCTAATAATGTATTTAAAAATGAGATTTTTTGCAAGAATAATACATTAAATCACCGCCCTCGCTTCCAGCCTCAATGCTGCCAGGAATCTGTGACTTTATGCTACCTTAAGCACCTATAATTAAGTCTAGATCTGATGTTTCCCAGGGAGACACGATCCCAGCACAACCCCTGCTGGTTTGGGTAGGGTATTTTGCTTTTTAATGAAATATTGTACTGACTGAGTGTGTTAATTTGCCTGATTGTTGGAAAGAATGGTGTTCATCTGCAGCAAGAGGAACTTTCCCAGGAAGCCACAGTCACGAGGATTGAGTCCTAAATTCCCAAGAAAAAGATGCTGTTAACTTAAGGTAGCCAGAAAAATAACGTTTGTCATCATTGCACAACACATTTGAGCCAGTTTGAGAATTATCCATGAGGAGAAGGCTGTAATTGCTCAGAACATTAAGGCTTGGGAGAAGTTAAGGAACACTAAATCAAATTATTGTCACACTTTTAAAACAGCCTTTAAAATACAAAACCGAGGAAATCTTGATAGGCTTTTGTTTTGTCTGAGCCTCTTGTTGGACCCCAGCTCCTGTTTCTCCTGCTGAAGTCAGGGTTGCTCCGTGCAGGGGCACAGCCTCCTTTGCCAGGGGAACATTTTGGGGTGGGAGCATTTGCTGTGCTGAGTTTCCCTATTTCCCTGTGCTGAGTTTCCCTTTTCCCTCATGTTGAGTTTCCCTTTTCCCTCATGTTGAGTTTCCCTTTTCCCTCATGTTGAGTTTCCCTTTTCCCTTATGTTGAATTTCCCTTTTCCCTCATGTTGAATTTCCCTTTTTCTTTTGGGTTGAGTTTCCTTTTCTTCCTTGTGTTGTTTTTATTTTCTTCATGTTGAATTTTCCTTTTTCCCTCAGGCTGAATTTCCCTTTCCCCCATGCTGAATTTCCCCTTCCCTCATCCTGAATTTCCCTTTCCCTCATGCTGAATTTCCCTTTCCCTCATGCTGAATTTCCCCTTCCCTCAGGCTGAATTTCCCTTTCCCTTGAATTGAATTTCCCCTTCCCTCATGCTGAATTTCCCCTTCCCCCATGCTGAATTTCCCTTTCCCTCATGCTGAATTCCCCTTCCTTCAGGCTGAATTTCCCTTTTCCTCGCCTGGAGCTCCAGCAGCTGCTCTTGCTGGGGCTGTCCCTGATGTCCCCTGCGTGGTGCAGTGGCACCCAGGCCCTCCCTGTGCCCCTGCCTGAGAAAGCACCTTTGGGATTTTCAGATCCAAACCCCACAAATGCACCTTTGTGGCTCTTTCCCCCTTTCCCCATCCACACCTGTGTCACAAAGTCCAAGTTTCTTCAGTTTCTTGAAACTTGGGCATCGCTGCCATGAATTTGGCATCTCACAGATTTCTGCATTTCTGGGCAATTTTGCTTTCTCTCAGTTAAATATTCTGGGGAAAAGCCCTGTTTGTGCCCTGGCTGGCTGAGCAGAGTTTTAAGGCACAATGAGCACCCTCCCCATCCCTCCTCTTCCTCGCTGGAGCCAGCTGCACGTGCCTGGGATGCTCCTGCATGGAGAGCAGCATCTCCCCCTCTCCCTTGCCATGCCATGCTGGGGAGTGAGGTGGGGTACCAGGGACAGACCCATCTGCCCCTGCCCCTGCACAGGGCTGGGAAACCTCGTACCCAAAACCCTTTTTATGCTGAAGGTGTCACCAACTTCATGGATTTTAATGCCAATTAAAAGTTTAACACAGCTCAAATTCCATTTCGCTTTCAAAACGTGATTTGGGTTCATCAGCACCCACAGTGTGTTTGTCAAGGTGTTGAATAATTGGTTTTAAGGTTGGAAACATTCATCTGCATTAGCAGAAGTTTAGCAGTTGGGTAAAGAACCTTCATAACTTTTTATTTGGGGAAATATTTGTCTGCTATTTCTCTTGAACTCGTGTTTGCACAGTATTAACCTGAAAAGCAATTGTAGGAGGAAAAAAACCCTCAAAATTGGCCAGGAGCTGGTGTGTGCTCAGCCATTCCCTGCACATCCCTGCTTGTCAACTCGCTCCCATTTTTTTTCATTAGTTTCTTGTTATAGTCAAGATATGGTCAATGATCTTTTGAGCTTGGTAATTTTGTTAAACCTTTTTTATGAGCAGTATTGAATTGCTGCATTGAGACGGGAGCTTGCTTCCGTGCAAGATTAATTGGGACCGGTATTTCATTTTGCATAGCACTATTCAAAGCTAATAAAAAGGCCCAGAATAATGAATTTTAAAGTCAAATTATAATGAAAAGCCACAGGTGATTGTTTCATTAGGCTGGATGCAGGAGAACTGTGTCTTCTCTTAACTTTGCCTGTTTGTATTGGTTGCCCTGGGGGAAGTAAACAACTTCCAAATGGGTTTGATGTTTCTGAGAAATGTTCTCTTCTGGAAAGACTTCAATAATTAAAAAGATGTGCCTTCTTAAAAGTTCACCGAAGCACAAAACAATTGCTTTAAAACATTCTTTGTTCAAAACTGTTACCTTGACTGATCTTCATGGGAGGAAATTGCCTTCAATGGAGAGAACAAAGCCCTTCCCTTAGCCAGGTTTCAGTGGCTCCCGGGAGAAAAGCCTTGGAGCTCCAGAACCCCAGGGGCAAAAAGCCCGGCCCGGAGGGGGTGTGATGGTGCTGATGGTGTGCACAAAGTGTGGGTAAGAGCAGTGCTGGGTGAGCTCCAGCACAGAGCTCTGCCCAGCCCCACTCGAGATTGAACTGTGCTGTCTCTTGCATGACTGTTTGCTGTCTCATTCTGTACTTGTCTTCCATGTGTGATTAACTCCCAAATGTTCTCTTTTTCTTTTTTTTTTTTTTTTTCCTTTTCCCTTTTTGTAGAAATTATTGAGCCTACTACCTCTAGTCGTGTCTCGAGCCCAGGTCAGTATCCCCCGCAGGAGGTCGGTGCCTGCCGGGCCTCATTGCCATCCGTGCCCGGGGCTGACCCGGGCTGCTGTGTCGTGGTAGTGCTGGACTGTCCCTGTCTTTGTGCTTCCATTGGTGTGTCTTCCCTGCAGGCTTCGTGTCTCGTCCTCTTTCTCCCTGTTTCGAGCAGCCTGTCCCCCATCCCCTCCCTGCCACGGGTCTCTGCGGTGGGGCTGTGCAGGGCACTGCTCCCTGCGGGCACCTCCCTGCTCTGGAACCACCTCCCCCTCCGAACCCTTGCTGGTGTTGTTGCAAATGTGGGTCTTGGTTGGAGGATGTGCAGATCTCTCGCTGCCTCGTCTCTGGCTGCCTGTGGGATGGAGCAGGAGCTGTTGGGAGGGCTTGGTGGGGGCTGAACGCTTCTCCGTGGGCCTGGAGGGCACCCACAGCTCCTGGTGCTCCTGCTGCATCCCCCTTTTCTTGGGGATTCCTGTTACTGCTCCCCAGCAGGACCCCTCAGTGGGGCTGCTCACAGAATCTTGGAATGGTTTGGGTTGGGAGGAACCTCAAAGCCCCTCCAGCGCCATGGCAGGGACACCTCCCACTGTCCCAGGTGCTCCAGCCCCAGTGTCCAACCTTGGGCACTGCCAAGGATCCAGAGGCAGCCACAGCTGCTCTGGGCACCAGTGCCAGGACCATGCCTCTCTCACAGAGAATAATTCTTTCCCAATATCCCATCCAGGATAGCAGGCAGAATTTTCCTCTGGCAAAGCCTTCACCAGATGAGTACTTTTATTTCCTAACTAAAGATTGGAAGGACTGCACCAGAAAGCCACAGAAATTGAGGTGATTAAACCAAGTGAGGCAGGTTAAACCAAGGGCTGCAGAAGGAAAAGCAGGCACAGGTGATTCCAACACCCCAGACCTACAGGAGCAGCAAGCTGAGTGTTTAAATCTGCAGTGCTTTAATTAAAGAGCTTAGGGAGGGCAGCTCTGGTGTCACTCAGGGGGCAGAGGTGCTGCCTCCCTGCTTTCCCCGGGCCCCAGGGAGCATCCCAAAGCTCTCCATCTCCTCTAGGGCAGAGTCTGTCCCTGTCTCCATCTCCTCTAGGGCAGAGACTGTCCCTGTCTCCATCTCCTCTAGGACAGAGATTGTCCTGTGCCTGCAGCCAGAGCTGCAGCAAAACCTCTGCATGATGCCTCCATCCAAAGCCACGGCATGGGAGGGGGGACTGGACTGCAAAAAGCTGATGGTGCCTGCAGTGAAAGTCCCCATCCTGGGGATTTTCCACAGTTGCTTTGGACTAGCAAGCAGTTGGACATAAGCTGGGGAATTATTTTTGGATTAAGAGAAGCTGAGAAGAAGGGTCGGGTCGCTGCTGTGTCGGTCGTGCAAAGCAGCGATGGGAGAACCTCACCCTGGTGGTGTTGAACACTGGGGTTTGGAATTCCTGAAAAAGTGCCCTCAGCCTGGTCCTCTTCCAAGCTCTGCCCAGGGAAGGAGGGAAATGCCGGGTGGTTGCAGCTGGAGTGGACTCCAGTAACATTTCTGGGTTCAATCCCCAGAAGTGAGTGCTCCAACAGAGTCACGGTGGTTCCTCACTTTCAAAAACTGCTCTTCAAGTAACGCAGCTTTGAGATGTGTTTGCATTCTTGTCTGCAGAGATTTGCACCAAATGAGCAAAATTATGTGTATTTTTGGGAGCAGCATGGAGATGGGGGAGTAGAAAGCAATAGAGTCCTTTAATAATGATCCCTCTCTTAATTCTGAAAGCACGGTGCTAAATAGAGAGGGATTTTTCCAAACATGAAATTGAGAACATGAAAACCTCTGAACACAATAGTAGAAAAATTTGGGAGTCATTAAAGTTGCAATAGTTATGAAACTACGTGAGCAAATCCAACTTTAAATTACCAAGGAAAGCACTGAGCTCAGTTTGCAGTTGAAAACCAACATCTGTTCTGCTGAAAGACAACAGAAAAGGGGAGGAGGGTTTAAAGACAGTTCTCAAAATGGTTGAAAATTTATTATTGAGTCTTTCCTCCTGGAAATGAGCCCTGGTACCAGCAGTGACATTGCAATGAACTGTTCTGTTTGCCTTCCATAATTAAATAACACTGTGATAGTCCCTCTACTTGGCTAATTTTAGCCTGGTAAATAGCTGGGAAATGCCAGCACTATTGTTACCAAGTCATTCAGCTGCAGAGGCAATGAAAACCTTCCCAGAGTGCTGGGAACTGAGTCCCCGGTGTGCTGCAGCAGCAGCAGTGAAGGCAGCAGGTTGGGCTGATGGTGGCAGAGAAGCTGGGTTATCTGTCCACAGCTGCTTATGACAGTAAAATTTATCATAAACCACAGGATGGTTTGGGCTGGAAGGGGCCTTAAAATCATCTCGCTCACCCCCTGCCAGGAGCAGGGCCAACGTTTCTGGCTTTGTTCAGGTCCTCCCAGGAGGTTCTGGCCAAGAGTCCTTTGGGTCTGCCTGCCTGCCCCGCTTCCCTCGTGCAGGAATACAAAGCATGGATAATCTCTAGGAGCTCATTTTGGCCTCGTGTCTCACATCAGTCAGAAAACAGAGCATCGGCCTCCTTCCTGCTCAATCAAGGCTCTGCAGCTAATTAGCTAATTACCGCCATCCTTCAGCGCTTCAGCGCAGCTTCGGGGGGCGTGTTCTGCTCCCCGAGAAGGTTTTGCTGCTGGGAGGACACAGATCCTTGGCAGGGTTTCAGCACTGAGCCAGAGGTGTGAGAACTCCCCAAAGGGAGGCCGACACTGCCTGCAGCTGGCTGAGGGAGCTGGGGCCAGGCTCCCCAGAAATGCAGGGAAACGCCTGACAGCATGGTCGGAGTCCCATCACCACTGCTCGGTCTTCCCAAGGACTGGGAAGGGTCTTCCCAGTCTTCCTCAAGGGACTCGGGTCATTCCAAAGACCCGAGGGTCTTCCTCAAAGACTCTCAGTTTCTCTTGGGGTTCTGGGGGTCAGGATGACCCCGAGAGATCAAAAAGAGTCTTTGCTTCCCTGGCCCGGCAGCCAGAGAAGGAGCCTGGAATGTCTCCAATTGCATTCTCCAGGCTGTTTATTTCTTCTTATCTAAACATTCTTTCTCTGACCTGCCAAGCTCTGCCTAGCAAGGAGCCCGTGGCACTCTGGCCCGAGCCTTGGGCAGCTCCCACATTATATACCCAAAACTACACGTCTATGTTTACAATTTCTTCACCAATTCCCATCACCCATGTTAGACTGTGAATCTCTACCTTAAACCAATAGAAAAGTGCCACCATCACACCAAGACATGGAGGGCAAGACAAAGGAGAAGAAGGCCAGGACACACCCAAATTCCCCCATCTTCACCCCCTGAACCTCATTCCAAAAGCCCAAAATTCTACTTTTTCACCTGTGTTAATCCAACTCCCACACCACTCAAACCCTTGTGGTTTGTAATTCCTCATCCAGAGCTGGCAGCTTTTTCCACTGGCTAAAATCGCAGCCACAGGTGTTTGTGACTTCGTGCCAGGGTCTCTGAGCCCCTGCCAGGGTCTGGAGCAGCCAGGGCACCAGAGGGATGTGCTGGACTCCGACAAAAGACCAGGCTTGGAAGTGATTCTCTGTAGGACGTGAGGAGTCTGTAGCAGCCTGGAGAACTTTCAGGATCCGCCCTGGTTCCCAACAGGGGACAAAGCTTTTAGGACATTTTTAATTCATGCAAAGCAACGCTGTGTTCGAGAGCCCTGGTGGCACATTTGTGCATTTCTCTGCCGGAGCCCTTTTCCCACATTTGGGGATTTGCTCTCCTAATTTGAAGCGACACTGCTTCAAGCATGTAGAATTAGCTGCAGAAAGTTACAAAATTGGGGCCACGGTTGGTATCTGTGTTGTCAGCCAGCGCCAGGAGCTGGAGCTCCTTACAAATCTTTCCTCCTTCAGCATAATTAGTTCACAGGTGGTGTCTTGGAAAGCCTTTGAAGATGTTGCTGAATTCTTAACGCTGACTAAACAAGTAACTGTGACAGGTCAGAGAGAATAATTGAGGAATCTTTTTTAATTAATGATTTCACATCTTATGAGGCACTTTTATAAAAATTGGAGTGGGAGAGAGAAGGACCTTAAGTTATTTAATTTTCTCAGGAACAAAAGCATGTGTTTAAATGAGCACTTGGGCAGGTTGGACAACTCCTTGAACTCCAGTTGCTTCTCCCTGCTCTGCCTTTCTGCATATCTAACAAATTTAATATGCCAGAATACTCAATAATACCTAATTTCAAGCAGGCTCTGTTTGTTTCATGGGAAACCTGCCAACCCCTCCAGTTTTCTCCTCTTAATGCAGTTGCAAATCCCATTTAAATCAATCAGTGATTTTGTGTAAGGAAAGTCTGCAGGGCTGGACTCTGAATTTCGGGATTTACAGTGCTCTTTCTTGCCATTAGTTCTGTCTGTTGGTGAGGAAAGCAGCGTGTTCCTGCAGCTGGGGACTCTGCTTGGCAGCAGGAGAGGCTGGTGCAGCAGCCCTGGAGCAGGGAAGAGCCCTGGGGCAAGAGGCAGGGCCAGCTGTGCTCCTCCAGCCAAAGCCCAGCAGCTCTTCCTTCTGCAATTCCTGCCAGAACTCTAAAGGGCTGTGAAAAGGTGATCCAGATTTCAGTAGCCGATCCTGGATCACGGCAAATTTAGCTTCTACATCCTGTTGGGAGCAGATGTGTGTTTGTTCCAAGAGTCTTTGGCTGCTTTGTTGCCTCCCAAATCCCCCACCTGGAAGGGAAGGCAGAGTCTCCCAGCTCCATCAGCTGGTGGGAATCACCCTCCAGCACCCAGCCCCAGAACACCTGAGCTTCTTCTGCCCAGAACAGGTACAGGGCTTCACGGCTTGCTGTGGGTACGTTGGCATCAAACAGGTGAACATCTCGAGAATATCAATGTATTAAAGCTCCTTGTTAATCAGCTGGGAGCTTTATGTTCCGGGCACATGGAGGGCACTGCTGCTGCGTTCCAGAGCCCGGGCAGGGGTGAAATTCCAGCGTG